CCAATACTGTCTTCCCCGAAAGACGAAGTTCCTAAGTGGGTTTAAAGACACCAGCGACCATCGCAGTCCTTTAAGGACCAAATGTTTCACACCAACTTCCAGTGTTGAAATAATACCCGTTCTTGATCCTCACAAAAGCGGGAAATAAGATGAGCTTTAAGTGGGACATGTTCCGGGAGAGAAATGGCCTGACTGGTTTTCAGCTACGTGCCTGTTGCCGGTTCAATAAATCTTGGAATGAGTGAAATGTTTAGGCTCTTAATACATAATACAAATGAATCACATCCATCGTCGTGGCTGCGCCTCTGTTAATAACCCCAGTTGTCACTGAGAGGCTCCCTCACCAGCAAAGTGTAAACACCCTGAGGCTAAGGCCCATCCTGGCAGGGTCGCCAGTCGGCCAGCGCACAGCTCAGGCGCTGGGGGAAGAGTTATTGAGTTGATCAAAGGAGAAACGGCTGCAAAATGATCAGTTCTTCCGGTGAACTCCACCTGGCGAGACCCCCACGTGTGCAGCGTAGAACCGCCCCACGCGGTTGCAAAGCTGTGGCATTTTGACCTATCATCTCGGGCACCTCTGGGTGCTTGTGAACTGACCAGCATCGGCACGGCCCAGAGGCTCTGTTCCAACTCCGCCCGCTAAACTGCTGTGTGCAATAAGATCCGGGTCTGAGGAGCTCCACTCCCAAGTCAGGCCGCCTGGGTTAAAATCCCAAAGAGAGCCCCGGCCGCTATGTGACATGGGACACGTCTCCCAGCCTCGTCAACCCGCACAAGCTCATTTACAGGCTCGTGTCACAAAATGGTAGCCCTTGGGGTACCACTTGAGCCCTGGTGGGGCACTGGTTATGCATTGGACTTTGATCCCCAAGGTCTGCAGTTCAAAACCACCAACCATTCCTCGGGGCTTTCTACTCCCGAAAACAGTTACAGCGTCAGAAACTCACAGGGCCAGTTCTACCCCAGCCTCTAGGGTCGCTATGAGTTGCTATCCACTCAATGGCAATGAATTTGGTTTGGTTTTTTAGAAGGACTACTTGATCATGATACTTTATTCTACCCTCTTGAGTCAAAAATAAGGACATGCTCAAACTCAGCACCTGGTCGACTGTAGCTAACGCTCCTTCTGAGTCCAAGGCAGCCCTCCTGGGGAGGGGCACCCATCTGACGAGAAAGAGGCACCAGGTTTTCCTAGGGTTCTCCCCCTCCAAACCACCCCTTGCTGCAGTTGGCCCTGCCTATAGTGAGTGGAGTACCACGAACACACAGTAGGACTACCAAAGATGCAGGAGAGCCCGGAGCCTGCCTGCCACCATGCCCTGCCTACCCCTGTGCACAGTAGGGTGTCCTCAGGCCCGAACACCAAGCAGCCGTGGACAGTGACTCATTCTTCAATGCCCGTGAGCTTTTCTTTCCGTCCCACCTCCCCTCCTGTGAAATGGGGAACGAGGAGCTAGCTGAAAGCGACAACATAAAGATTCAACCCCCGGTCTTTGAACGTGCCTGGGGGAGCTAATGAAAGAGAACATGGCTGTGGTAGCAGCCGCAGCAGAGCCCCTAACTGGACGAATGCCCAGAGATGCGTCCTCCTTTTCAAATGTCTCTTACGGGGGTTTCACTGGAGAGATTCGGGGAAGAGACTCAAGTTCCTGCAATGTGTTAGTATTCCATGAAAGTAGACATCATAGGGAAGGTTGTCAAGATAAATAATCTGAGTTTGGGGAAAGATATAATATGTAAATCAAGCATTAGCATTAAATCTCTGAATAATAAAACTGTTGGTCCGTTCTTAATTGCATACTTTACATAGATTCTCCTTAGAATACCCAGCATTGAATTTTGTACTCCATATTTTTCCCCTCTTTATGCTTAGGTAAACATTTGTCCTTCAACAATTTCATCAATCACAACAGCCACTAATTTGGCAAGTTCTCAAGCCCTCAGAAGCCCTCAAACGACTAGACCTCTCAACAGGAACTGTTACTGATTGTGGAAATCTATCAGAATTTCGAACGTCTTGCGTGATTTATTTCATTTTATTTACTTTGAAGGTCCAAAAGAACAGGACTCTTGCTGGGCTATAACCCGCTACACATCTCTACTGTGCAGCAGAGAAGGTTATTTAACAGAAAAGCAAAGTCTAGGGGGTTTCTTTCTTTCTTATTTTTTTCACCACAGGTGCCATAATGAAGTGGTGAACATTGAAAAGAAACGGGGCGAAAGACACACCGTGCAAATAATACAGGAGAGAAAGTTTTAAAATATGTATCACTTCTGTCTGTGGGGGAAACACCTCTTTGGATATGTTCTTGACAGATTGAGTTATTTCTGTCTATTGGGTATGTATAAAGACATATTTATGGATTTATAAATCTTTTCAAGAGGGCTGTTATTTACCCAGTTGACTAAAATGGACTCAAACTGTGTAAATAACTATTTAGGACATGCACTACGGGCCAAACGCTGGCACGGTTTGCACATCTGTGCCTGCCAGAAAAGGCAAACAGGGAAAACATGGAAAAGCCACTGTGCACAGTCAATCTGCAGGCTGCATGAAGACTGGGCTCCACAGGTCTCAGGCTGAGAAAAAGATTTGGGGGGGTCATGATTGGCATGGAAATAGGCATCAGCGGTTGCAGCCACCCTTGCAGGCGTTGCTCTGCATTTAGCGTGAATAAATCACACCGCCTAGGCCAGTGCACAGGGAAGGGCACAGGAAAGGGGCTGCTCACACACCCCTCTGTTATCCAGCTCGGGTGGGAAGGCGGGGCACCGGACATTTCTGTTGCTGAGTTGAAGAAGGCAGGCGGCCCTGGCTGTAGTGCTTAGGGCGGAGCGGGGGAAGAGTGGGGGCTGTGATGAGAAGAATCTGATCCACACAATCAGGAACCTGGACTGTGAAGTCCCAATGTGCATGGGGACCTCAACACGTCAGCTTACGCAAGCCTCGCCTTTCTCACCTGGCAGATGGGTGCGCTCGCCCTTCTGTACCAGGCACGCTGCACAGTTTGAAGGTTCAGCTGAGGTCATTCCCAGAAGGCCATTTTTGCCGAAAATGCTTTCGTGGGAGCAAGTGGGTTAAAAAAAAAGGTGTGGGAGCGAGTGGTTAAGAAAAAGCAGGTGGTGGCCTGATACGGAGAAATCTACAAGGGAACGGTGTAAGTAGAAAACGCTGGGAATGTGAAGAACACACGGCTCTTGGTTACAGTAAAACTCATGATTAAATTGGCCTAAGGAGAATGTTGGCCGCAAAGGAAGAGACACCTGCAAAGGTCCTAATTCCATGTCATGGCGTCTCAGAGGGAAAGAATGAGTACTGGGCACTGGCCCCTGAAAATCCTCTTATCAGATTATGCTTGAGAAAGCTGGTCTGCTACAATTTTAAATTCAAGTGCATTTCAGCCGTGTGCAAACCTTCAAAGCAGTAGTCAAACCCTCTCGGTACCTTGGTGATCTATCCCCCCCACCCCCCCCAAAAAAGCAAACCAAAGAGAGAGAGAGAGAGAAACAAATGAACAAAACACTAGGCTGCAACCCCAGGCAGCAATTTTGCAGTACAGGAAAAAGTGTAGATTTCATTCACACCTTAAAAACAAAAACAGAAGGAATCCTGTAAGTAGAATTCTGAAAGGAGAGCTTTCTATTGAGTGCCGGGCACACCTTGGCTACAGCGCTGCGCGCAGCCACCCCAGCCTATGGGCATACACATACACTTGGAAGGAAAAAGGCCCCTTGGATTCACATTGCACATCATTTTCCAGTCAGAGGTCAGAGGTCAGGGGTTACCTGCTCCTGCCTGGGCTCTGAACCGCTTTACCACTCCAGGCTGTGTTTTTATAGGCCATCGTGGTGATGCCGTCAGCAACTTTTCTTTGAACAATACAATGTCTCACATGCTGAAAATTCTATTTGTAGCTATTATGCCCCGTGCAAATAGCATATAGGCGCCTAAAATTCTTTAAAGGCGAACTCTCCTCATTGTGTGTTCGAGTGAATCATGGGAAAGTAGACTCTGCCATTCTCATTGGTTGAGCCCAAGTAAGTTAGGAAGCAACTTCCTTTGTTACCTACCAGCCCTTCCATGAAACACAACCACGAGCACAGATTACAAAGGATGCTGCCTACTGTGGGTTCAGAAGCAACTCCAATACCGCAGTCTATTTCGTATTTAGACTCAGAGAACCCTCCTTTCTGCTGCCAATGCATGACCTGGGCCCCAAATCCACGTCTCCATACCTCATCAAACACCGAGCAAGGGAGATAAATAAATGGTCACTTGCTTTCTTGGGTGAAAACGGGTCTCTCTCTTGAAAGCTTTGTTTCCTACTGTGCGCTATGGCCAGCACGTGCACACGCGCGCACCACCGCAAGGTACATTCCAGGTACAGCCCACATGACACGGGTCTGGCGTGGCTCCCCTTTTCTTCCTAATCCCACTGAGTCTGACTGCAGGGAAGCCCAGCATTGAAGAGATTCAGGTAAGTACACAAAGGAAAATAAGGCTCAGCCCAGTGGAGAGGGCAGCCCAACACGGTTTCCGGAAGTGAAGGCTCTCTTCTGAGTCTCTTCTAGACATCTGTCCTTCCCACTGCTCGCGGATCTTTCTTCATAAAGCCCTTCAAAGGTATCTGAAGGCAAGTCATGATCAATCCTACTTTTCAGTTGGATAGCCGGGCCTTGGTGACATACAGTCTCTGCATCTTTGAACTTGCACTCTCCTTCTTTATTCTTGCCTTCTAGGGATTCCCTGCCCCTGTGCTGGGGAGGCAGCCAGGCAATGGGCTGTAGGGAGTGGGAGCAGCGGAGAAGAAGTCAACGGTCAGGGAATCAGATCAGCTGAACGGATTCAGGGAATCAGATCAGCTGAACGGATTCCCTCGTTAGATGGAGTTTATGGTCTCGGGGAAACCGTCTAAACAGGAATGAGCTCCACATCTCCAATGTTTCCAACCTTTAAGAGACAGAACAGGTAGCGAAGAGAATGAGAACACGTCTCCTACCTTGCTCACTGCTGTTGTCCCCACTGTGTGATGTGTGGCCACCGCTGGAGGGGCCTGGGGTTCCTCCTGAGCGGGTAGATGCCGTGTCATCATGATCTCTGTTCCAAGAGGGCTGTGGGGGCACACAGGAGAAATCCAAGGGAGCTGTGGGTTAGTGCTTGCCATGTCAGAGGGCACCACCCAGTGAGACAGCCATGGAAAGCCAGGCAGGACAACCAGCTGTCCCGTCCCTCCCGACCCCCTACAAGTGTGGTGCCAGCTCAGAGCTACACTGGCACATGGGGAAAAGGGGGGCTGGTTTCTTCTTCCAAACTATGATAGTATCTACAAGATAGTTGTTGTGTAAGTAATCTCATGCTTTATTACCAAGGAAAACAGAAACTTTCCAGGCTGGGGCTGAGGGCGGGTAAGACCTGGCACATGGTTCTGGCTAGATCTTGAACAGCAATAAACCCTCGGCTACAACAGTCCGCTACTCTGCAAATGCAAACTGGGTGGTGGTCCATAGCTCTGTGGTTTAGAGGCTCCTGGTTCAACCGAGAAGACGGACACAGCAGAGCTTTTAAGACCTCACAAGGAGACCTGGGTCCCTAACAGCTCGTGTGTGTCAGCTGTTTGCCGGGTGGCACATGGTCAATGGGCCAGGCACGGGGACAAAAAAAGAAAAGACAATGACAATAGAGTCGCATGGACTTTGGACACTCAGCCCCATGTAGGGCCTTCTTGCACTGTCGAAGGGAAAGCAGATGTTGCTTATTATCACTGGGTGCATTTGAAAGTAACATTCAGATATGTGTGTGTGGTGTGTGTGTGTGTGTGTGTGTGTGTGTGTGTGTGTGTGTGTGATGGCTGTAAATTAAATTCTTGGGGGAAAATAATCATGGTGACACTTCTCCCAAATCTCCCTTTATCAACCAGAAAAGGGTTTCACTAGCATTTAGTGCTAGCTGCCAAAGGCAGCCCTGTGAGTCACTGGCCATCCTGCTGGGTGCCAAAGAAAGCTGCCTCTTGGTGAGTCAGGGGGCTTGGGGGGTGGGGTGGGGAATCAGGATGGGGCATGGGGAGGCAAGATGATCTGGGATAGAAAACTTGTACGCATCCCCTCCTGCAGCCCCATGACGAGGTCCAGGCTCAGCTCGGCGGGATAGGAAAGTTGATTGACACCCCACCCACCCACCTTCATGACACCCCTCCCCAAATCCAAACACTCCTCACTCATGAAACGTGTTTTCCTATCTCAGAGCAGAAGAGAAAGACTGAGGAGAGCAAAAGTTTGAAGACACTCTGGGAGAGGGAAGTAAGGATCCCAGCAAAGAGGCCCGCTGCCTAGGAACCCAAGGTAAAAGGATTCCCTTTTCCTGAGAAGTCTGCCCCTTGCCCTCGCTATGTTCCCTGCATCAGCAGGGCCCTGAGCTGACGCAACCTGGAAACACCACAAAATAAAGTCAGGGAGAGAGGGGCCGCATCACACGTAGGCTTAACTCCCCGGTCTGCATACCCTAAATCAATAAATAACAGGGCTAATTGATCGGCGGCTGCTGGGATTGAAAGATGGGCGAGCCAGGAAAGAAAAGCTCCCGACCCACACGCATCCTCCGGCCTGCCAGAAGAAGGCAGTCAGACGGAATCTGGGACACATGCTCGGAATGCAAACAGTTAATGCATAAATTTTCAGTTTGGACAACTGCAGCTCTAAAAGGGGGACTTGTTTATTCAGAGCTCTGCAGAAAGAATGGCCCAGCACCCAGGGGACAGACAGTGCCAGGCACAAAACCCCGGTGCCTCTACATGTAAAAGGATGTTTTTCTATGTGCTACAAATCCCACTTGAAAATATAATTAGAAGGAGAAAATGGCAAACTATTGCATTAACTGTAATTGAACAAAAGACCGGCAAGGCGTGTGGGAGGCTGCAGGAACCCGTGGGAGTTTCAGGATGCGTGAGATCCTGCGAGTGATCTCCTGGGCGCTCTCATTTTATTTGTGTTGTCCCTCACTACGATTGTTGACTGGTGATCTGACTTGTAATTAATAGAAAAGCTCGCAGTAACAAGCTAAAATAGAGAGCCACCGACTCACCTCAGCCACAGTGTGTTTGTTAATCTGATTAAGACCAGGACTCGGAAAAGGTGACTGAGAACCAAAGAGCGAATTCATGTCATACAGGAAACTGTCCTCCTTTATGTAACCACAGACCTGATATATTCACTATCTTTTAATGAGCTCCACTGATTTATTCAGCTCCGCTCCCCGCCCTCCCCCACTTTGCTACTGTGCAGGATGTAGATTAATTCAATGCTTAATTGTTTAGTAAATTCAATTTTCCACCTTCTATTCTGCATAGCTTTAGCTAAGGTTCTTAAATCTTCAGCCCTGAGCCCTGAGCCCAGTGTTTGTGATCTGTGCCTGCCTTTTTTCATCGCCATTTTTCTTCATCCACCACTTAATTCACCATGAAAAGATTTTCCTTGCTGGAAATTCTGATTCCGCTATGATCTGTGAGGCATTCCAATTCATTGCCTTTTCATTGTGCTGGGTCTCAGATGCTGGGCTCCTCTTTTCTCACAGCTACCGCCGCATTATACAGGCACTCATGCAAGCAATGTTGGATTCCACCTCAGTTTATCCAAATGTTGTGCAACGTATAGGCTTAAATGTGTGTGCCCACCAAAGGTGGGAGCCCATGGTTTCCGTCTAACATCGTTCCTCGCACGGCCTTGCTCTTCCGGAAGGTCTGTGAGCGCAGAGATGAAATCTAACTTTTGTGGTCCTTTCTTGAGTGAGCGTGTTGGGTTTTGCCATGTCAAGAGCACTGTAATCATATGACACTGGGCATCCGAAGAGAGCCACAAGGTCCCCAAGCAAAGCAAGAATTCGGTCCAGTCGGGTTCCTTGAGCATGATTCAAGTCTGAGTGTCTGACAAAGGCTCAAGTCTGAGTGTCCGACAGAGCCTCACGGAGTCTTCCAGCATCAAAAGGGAAAGACCGTCCAATCAGAAAGAATTGCCCTCAAAACCCACCTGATAGCGAATCACAGTGGCAATAATATAGCTCTGGGAAGATGCGCGGTTTCACCAAACAACATCATTATTAGTTTTAATATAAAATATGTGCGTGTGATTATGTACATCTGTTTGCGGAGTGGTGAGTTGCTCGGGGCCGCATGTAAAGGACGGCTGGCAGAATAAAATGAAATGGCACACAGTGTTGGACGCACAGCAAACCATAGTCGTGGCACTAAAGTAAGTTCCAAAGATGTTTTCACCTCAACACCGATAATTCCCCAAGTGAGCAATGGCTGGGTGCTCCTACTTTGGAAATACACCAAGGAAAGGGGCCTTTAACTCTTGAAGTCTAAGGACTTTTGATGGACGGCTTCAAGACAGTCTTGTTGTAACAATATTTGTGTTCACGTATGAAGTCCTATCTTGCCCACCCCCTCCCCACCTCCCTGGGGACAGTGTGCATCACTTTTCACCAGCGTCTCATCAAGGGTTATGCAATTCTGCAAAAGAAGCACTACTTTAGGAAATGTTCACAGGGCTAGACAGGTAAACCAAAGGTGGAAAGGGCCTAATAGATTCTCAACTCAACACTGTTAATCTGAAGTTGAAGGCCAGTGGTCCTTCAGATAGGGACAGTGGTAGAACTCTTGATTCTTGGCCACTGCTCCTCATGCACAGCCATCAATCGGTGGAGGCTTGTATGTTGCTGTCATGCTGAACATGTTTCAGCAGAACTCCCGGACTAAGACAGACTAGGAACAAAAGCCTGGCGATTTTCTTGATAATCACCTGGTACAAAACCCTGCGGATCACAACTGTCTGATCCACAGATGACCATGGGGATGGCACAGAACTGGACAATATTTCATTCATCACATGCCGACTGGACAATAGCTAACAAACAATAGCAGAAACCTGGTCCTTTTTTGGTTAAGCCTAGTCCTTTACACATGATTTGAATTGATGTAACCAAGGCAGCTACCTAGGGCTTTGCTCTGTCAGAAAATTCTTCTTGGTCAACATAGCAACATACATAAACCATACGTTCTCATTGCCATTGAGTCGATACTGACTCATAACAACCCTATAAGACAGGAGTAGAAAGCTCTGTCGCCTGAGGAGCGGCAGGTGGTTTCAAACCGCTGACCTTGTGGATTGCAGCCCAATGCATAAGTTCTACACCGCCATTATTTAGAGCTCTCCTAAGTACACCATTTTAGTTTCCTAGTACTGGAAGCCCCAACGAGAGCTAATGTCTTCGTCCCTGGAACATGTGAAGCAAGCTAGACTCCCCATATATTCTCTCTTTGACGGCATGAATACTGTATGCCCATTTCTTGATATTTTCCCTCAGAAATACTTCAAAGTAAATTGTTTGTCATTTATGATCACAGACTGGAATCCATTGAGTAGTTTTTTAAATGTATAAGCCAAGTTCACTGGCATCTGAAAGTTGAAGCAAAAGCTGCCCCTTTCTTAGCCCAGTACAACGTGCGCCTTGTGTTTCTAAGGTCATTTGTAAGTTGGTTCCAACTGACAGCGACCCTGTAGTAGAACTGTCCCACGGGGTTTCCAAGGATGTCATCTAAGACTGCCACAGCTTTCTCCCACCCAAACAGTTCATCTGTCAGTAGCAGCCAAGTGTTTCACAAGTGCACCACTAGGACTCCCTTGACTTATGTTCAACCCAAACCAAACCCCCTACCATCGAGTCAATGCCAATGGACAGAGATGCTACAGGATAAAGGACAGCCACTCCTTGTGGCTTCTAAGACGGTAAACCTTTGCAGAAGCAGGGCGCCTCATCTTTCTCCTGGGGACCAGTTGGTGGTCTTGACCCACTGACCCTGCAGTTAGCAGCCCAATGCATAGTCCACCATGCCATCGGGGCTCCCCATGTGTGTTCACCATAAATACATAGTGAACGAAACAGAATTGCTTGTTAGCTCCTATTCCAACAACATTCCGACAGATAGACTACAACCTCGCTCAACAGGTCTAAAGCTAAATGCGTCCTCGCTCCACCAAAGGTCTTGCTTAATTCATCTTTGTTCCCAATCCTAATAGGGACAAACCCGCTCATCCACAGTCTAATCTAAGGACCACCT